ATATGTCAGCTGCCTCATGTCATCGGAATTGGCTTGAAGACGTTCATTGGGACGCCAGTGACCTGCAATGCAGGGCAGGACAGGGCTGACGAGATACGGGGTCCATCGCCTTGCCCCCGGATCCTTCAGGACGGCCTCTTCTCCCACTAGGAATCCTGCCCAGCAGATCTGCCCTTTCTCAGGGACCCGGAGGATCGTGTCCTTGTTATGCATGGCTTCGAACATCAACGGTTACGGCTCATCGGCTGAAATGACCAGAAGCGGCCGGCTTGCGTTATGCCTTGAGTATAACATCCGTGGCCTCGAAGCTTCGTTCAAAGTAAACTGGTTAACTAAAAGTCTCGCGGCCAGTGCCGTCCTGAGACAACAGTTTCCAAGCGCCTCTGCATCTCTCCTACAATCATGGAATTGGTGGGGGAAAAGATACTCTACACCTCGGAAACTGCCAAGTTAGGGACATGGACGATCCTATGGGAGTTTCCGCAATTAAGGATCGCTGGATGATGAGACGACATGCCTAGGAATCTCAGAGCAGGTCAATGCCGTCCCCGAGTGACTGGGTTGGAGAATTGGTCTCCATACGCTCCTTACGGCTGTGGGGGCTTGCTCAGCTCCGTGGTCCCTGAAAAGTTTCAAGTACCATCAGCCTCTGAAACTTATTACAGTGCTGGCGGTCCTCTCGTTGAATCATCGGCTGCGAATTACGAGAAACTCTGACTTTCTGCAGGGGTTTTGTAGTGGACTCTGCCAAAGGTTAACAGCCCCTGATCAGGTACGAATACAGTCAAGATCCCGTTACCACACGGACCTGAGATATGCTCTGTCCTAACTCTACCCGCGAACTGTTTCAGTCGCATTTCTGACATAATTACATACGCACTTATGCTGGCACGGGAGCGATCTTGCGAAGCTGTCCGGCCTAGTCATGACACCTGACACAGATCAGATCGTTGCTCGCCAGCATGCCAACCGCCATCTTGTTCGGGGTCCGTCACATATAATAATCTCACGCCTCCACAGGCATGAACACCACCCGAGGGGTCTGACAGGCCGGGTGAGCCCTTCAGCCCCGTCAGGCACTAGGTCGACCTGGCTGGACGTCGAATCGGGTTGGATAAACGCGATTTGCTGATGGCGCAGGTCTATTGCCCAGTGGGTGATCACCGACCCCGGCTTTGTCGGTGGGCGGGAGTTATGTACACCTCAGGTACAGAAGGCTAAAAATGGTCGGCCATGTGGGACCCCCCGAAGCATAAGTTAAGTGGGAGACCAGGTTATGTGTTATGCACCGAGGGAAAATGCAGCTCCTTCGATTCGCCTCGTATCATCGCCCAGATCTTGAACATCACCGTACGTACCGCAGGCAGGTACAAGAGCTGTCCTGCCGCCAAATGTCACGGGACGGACCTCGCCCGTATCGTAAGTCGACCCTAAGAGTCATTTGGGCCTCATCCACCGAGCGGGCAGGGCCCCTCTGAGCCGTAACTGGCAAGTCCGGTGAGTTGGCCTGGGCTGCCTACGTTGAGCTGCATCGCCTACTTGGGGGCCGAGCAACCTTGGCCGACTAGTGTGCACAGCACTGTCTCCAGTTAAGACGGCCGCGCAAACGACATGATGTAATTCATGGCCCTCCGGAACTCCCTCGACTAAGAAGTGCGTTATGGATCTCTGCGGCCTGGAGCGCACGGCAATAGGAAAGTTGCAATCTCATATTTGGAGGGCGGGGCAATTGCAAGATTTCGGTTCGCTTATTTGATGGCTTTTGTTCATCCGAGAGTGCCCTGGGCCCTGGCCGCGAGCGAGAGGGTTGAGTGCACGCAGCTGCGTATCAGAGCCGGTCTAACTACAAGTACGTCTTTGCCTGTGCTCTCCGACGGGTGGGCTGGCCATTCTCGGCTGCTAGATCCGTCTGGCGTGCAGTACTATCCAATGGTACAATGCTGTACGGTACATACATGAGTTACATACACACATGCGTTAGGTAGCTTAGCTACACGACTATTTGGCTGAGCTAGCCACACGCAAAGACAAGCATAACAAGTCTCGCTGGTGAACAAGTCGTTAGAGAGCCTAGTCGAATCCAATCCACAGCTAGTGGACGCCGCGCTCTGCCCGAAGGGAAAATGCAGCAAGCATGCATCTGCCCATGAGTCCGTGGATCCATGACCCCTGCTGAGGTTCACACACTGCGCCCAAGTCACTCGCCGGTACCGACGCTGGGCATGCGGCACCAGCACCTCGAGACAGAGACCGCCAGGCGAGCAGCGAGAAATAATAGGCCGGCCGCCGACAGAAGGCGTCACAGAGGTCTCAGTCCAACGACGACTACGTGCTGCTGTGAATGAGGCCATTTCTCAACCCCCCGCCGGCTGCAGAGCGATGAATTGAACTTGACGTGGCCAGCCTGTTATCCACTGACCCCTTCGGTGACGACCTCGGAGCAAGGAGCTAGCTGCCCGGGTACCTAGCAGCAAGCCTCAGAACGGCGGACAGTGCACTCACCCAAGGACCTGGTTGAGCGAGAACGAGCCATTCCATTTGCTGCCAGCCAGGGCCACTCTGTGTCTCCATGTCTCCAGGCCCCCAGGGCCCCAAGGGGGACTCTGTCGTTCTCTCAACACGATACGACACAACACAACACAACACAAGCAAAGTCAGAAGGGTTTGGATGTGGCGACGGGGAGTTTGTTACTAGGATAGGACCAATTGCAAGCAACAGAGCCACTGCCGTACCGCAACAAGCAGAAGTCAATAAACGGCCTCGCTCTCGCTCACGCGCGCACTCTCTCTCTCACTCGCTTCTCACTGTCTGCTTTCCGCTTTGTTCTTGTGAGGCGCGGCGGCGGCGGATGATAGGCACACCAAAGGCCAAGACCAAGGCAGGGCACCTTGTGGTACGGAGTACATTGGAGGTACTTTGACCCACCCACCTTTCTCTAGTTAGCGACTCCCACCCGTCTGTCTCCGCATCACTTCCCTTCCATCTTTCTCCTCTCGCCCAAGAACCGGCGAGACCAGTCCGTACGACCTCGTCCTTCCCACGGCACTCTACTGCCATCTTCTGCTTGTCCTGCAGTGGACTCGGCCTCTTCTCTACAGCTCCCCCCTGGGAATAGTTGCTCTTGCATGCCAAAACCCGCCGCGGTTTTCCTCTCAGTCTTTCCCGCAACCCGCCCTGCACACTAGGCCCCGACCATGTAACGAAGCTGCATCGGAAGTCGATCATTGTTAAGCTGGGACTAACCACGGTCTGGCTGGGTGCAGAGCGCAGGCTGGCTGCAGCAAGGTGTCTTGCCTCGACGACGAATACGACACTTCTCACTCGCAACGCAGCAACGAGAAACGACATTTACTCCTTTTCGATTTGAACCCAGCATATACGCCCCTCAAACCCTAGCGAACTAACACCGCCGGCCAACATTCTTCGCAGCCTCGCAATCAACAGGAGCGGGAGACCGACCTCCCCCCTAGGCGGTGGCTCTGCCAGCATAAGCACGAGAACCTCACTGCTCTCTCGTGTTTATTCCGAGCCGCCCTCTGCAAAGCAGAGCAGCCTCGAAAAGCAGTTGAAATCGGTTGCGGTCGGTGCTGCTGCGTGCCTGGCATATTCAACATGTCGGTCTTGGCGGTTCCCGATGGCGGCCTCCATTTGGGGAGCTCGGACGCGAGCGAGCTTCTGCCAATGCAGGCCTTTGGCCTTGCATTGAACGACGGTGTGATTGAGGATATGATCAGATGTGTGCAAAATGGCCAGAAAATCGAGCTGTTTCTGGGTTCCAATCCCGTAAGTTTGGCTGTGTAGTGCACCCCCCCCTTCGCATTGGCTAGTCGGCCATGACCCGTCCCCCCAGTGACTTCACGAAATCGATTGTACTTGCCCACGCACAGAACAATCTATAGAGCCACAATCAATTTCCTATTCGTGCTATTTTATTGAAGCCGTACATTCGCAATGACCCATTTACTAAACTCCATTGTTACCTACAGAGCTTGCAATACGGCGACGAAGAGGAACCGCTCAAGCCTACTTCAGACTCCTTCGATTATGACCTGTACCTCACCAACCTCGCCGAATCCAGTACCAAAGCCCAAAGATTACCGTATCCGACCATGTCCATCCTGAAGAAGCCGCCGACCGTCAAAGGCGCCAAGCCCAACGTCAGGGTTGAGAAGGTTGTGAAGGGTGGAAAGAGCGCCAAGTCGAAACTCCTTCCCCAGGGCAAATCTGCCATGGCCATGGCTCTTTCAAGCTCTGGTACCACGCGATCGTTACCGTCGAGTCCAGCCCTGAAGGGTGTCGGCTCGCCTTCACACAATCCGGCCATTGCCGCCGCCCAACAGCTCATGGAGAAGAACAAGGAGCAACGGACCACAGTCGTACACGAGCTTGCCGTGCAGGATCAGAACTACGACTACCTGAAAGACCGGTGGTCCGGATCCGAGGCAGATCTGAAAAACATTCTGGGCAAGGTTGGCGACAAGAAGGGCGACAGGTGGAGCTTGAGCAAGAACTACTGGAAGGAACTGGACGTTTGGAACTACAATTACGAACCCTCACAGAACCGACAACTGGCAATCGACAATGCCAAGAAACAGTACGATCGGCAACGGCTGGGAACCACCGATCCCGCTTGGGAGCGCCTACTGGAGGAGAAGGATAGAGGCAAGGGTATCATACTCAGCAAACTGCAGGCCGCCCTGGCCAAGGGGAACATGACGCCAGCTGCCAAGCCTGCCAAGGCAGATGATGCGAGCAGCAAAAATTCGAGCGACGAGAGTGTCAAAGCCAAGGCTGGTGGGGAGGCAATGGCGAGGTCGAGTTCCCAGCCTGTTGGTGCGAAGCCCAACCGGGTTGGCGACAGGGAAGTCCAGTCGAAGAAGCTGCTCTCGAACAAGGCGACGACAAAGAAACCTACCACCACGACAAAGAAGGCTGCACCTGTGAGCAAGGCCAAGGCAGCTGACAAGGGCACGAAGAAGTTTCTATCGGAAGAGTATGTCCATGACACTAGCAGCGAGGATGAGGCGCCTCTCGCAGCAACATCCACTTCGAAGCCGAAACCTGCTCACAGCCCCGTGCATAAGAGCGCTCCGAAGCCTATGGAGAAGCCAGTCGAGAAGCCCAAGGAGAGGTCGCCTGCTCCGATTGTCAAGCCAAGGGAGAGGTCACCTGCCCCAGCCGCCAAGCCCAAGTCTAAACCGACCATTCGAGCGCCCCGGCCGGCCGGCAACATTGCTGCCAGAGCTGCTTCCAGCACATCACAGAAGCGACCACGCGAGGAGGAAGATAGCAGCTCGAGCTCGGGCGCTCCGCTCAGCAAGAGAACCAAGCCGAAGGAGACTACAACGATGACAAAGCCGCTCTCCAGCAACACTGCGCTCAAGCATCGGCCATCAGACGCAAGTCAGAATTCACGGGGGACACCGTCCAATGTTTCTTACAAGAGCAAGAACACGTCGCCTGCAAAGTCTTCCCCTCTTGCCTCTTCGCCTCCCACCAATGCGTCGGACTTGGAGGATAACAGCCAGTCACAACATCATGATGGCCACAGACAATCGTCAGCAGCTCCCCGCACGAACGGTCATACAGCCACGGTCAACGGGCACACACCTAACGGTGTCTCGTCCGCGGTGAAGCGGCCGCCGGGCTCGCAAATCCACACAAGTTCGCAACCACCGACCAAGAAGGCTCGTGTGAGCCACGATGTGATTACAAAAGCTCACAGCTTCGATTTGGTCTATGACCAGTACAAAGTGCTACACGAGCAGCTCACGCGAATGGCGGACCCGCCCGAAGAGAAGCTTGAACGTCTTCATAAGATGAGGAGGAGACTTGTCTCCCTGAAGACTGAGATTCGGCAGCAAGTCGGTTTGACTGCGTAGCCACGAGACAGGGGATGAGCATAGAGCAAGGCAAAGTCCATTTCAGGGGATGAGTTCAGCGCGATATTATACCCATGTGCCAGATGGAGGGCCGGATGTGTCTTGCACAACTCGGGGGGACGAATTGCATTCGATCTAGTACCACGGAAATTTTCTGTGAGGTAAAACAGCAGCACCACGATAACAGCAAGCGGAACGAGGCATCCATCGAATGCCATGACGATTTTCCTATTCATCTTTTTTCCTATTCCCCCCTCCTTTTGCCCTCTCTCCCAACAGGGCTTGGCAAAACGGATACTTTTGAGCATAGGAGTTCACGGCCGGCAAAGGGACAGGATTAGCATAGCAAAACAGGATAGGCAAAGTCCTCCACGATTTGTTGCATTGAGTTCTTAGCATAAGGTCAAAAATCTGACCACCCCGGATAATACCAAACAAAGCAGATGTCCTTACCTATTTTCACTTGAGCTTGCCACTTACATTACGTGACAGTAGGATTGGTCAAAGTATGATTTGTCATTCTCCTTGAAGTAAGGACTTTGCAATGCCATGAGTGGGTGAAATTGAGATCAGAGCTATCGAGAATGGACAGATGGTCAGATCGGAAATATCCAACCCAACTCGGGCTCGCCCTTGGCACCCTCATCGTCCTCTACCTAATATGTACCACCCCATTCGGCCCCGAACACCCAGCCCAACAATCTCTTCACTCACAACCAGCCGGGCACGGATCTATCGTGAACACGACAGGCACGTCCACTCAAGCCCCCCCTCCCCCTACGGCATCATGACGCACACACAAACACACACACACACACACACACACATACACGGCGTGGGAAACAAGCAAGACTTGCAGGAACACGAGGGGAACGGAGGAGAAGCTGCGATATCCATGCCCGCATTGCATGCCATGCCATAGCGCAGCCTCACGCGCGCCGAAAGAAAGACGCAGGGACATGGGGCGAGGCGGCGGGGGGCTCAGCAACACCGGCATGCATGCAGGTTGGTTGGCGGGCGGCTGCGGCTATGCACGTATAGCAGGTACAATGGGGGGGGGGGGATCCATTGTCAGGAATGGCCTCCTGCATGTCAAGGGGAAAAAATTCTCTGTACAAGGTGTAGAAGTGTGTGTGTGTGTGTGTGTGCCTGTTCCGGAGCGTCGTCGTGGTGGTGGTGCCTCGCGGGGGGTTTTCCCAGCCTGTTGGGCCCCCAAGTCCTCATCCTCGTCGTCACCGCCCCTGGCTCTGCCGACCGACCACACCCCCAGACGCGGGATGCGACGCTGCTTTCTTCCGGGGGACACACAGGGCCCGGAAGGCCACGAGATCCGGGTCGGATAGAGTTTGTGGCTCGTCTGGGGGAGCTAGCTGTTGCGTGTTGGCTGGATATGGTCGCGCTGGATACTCTATACTGATGCGAGGTGCCCCCCGGATCCCATGGTTAGTCCCCGATGTTGGACGGACCACGACTCCATCGGCGATGGCACGAGTAATGGCAGAATGGCGGAGGGTTCCATCGATCCCTAATCAATATACCTCAAACGTACGGGGGGAGTTACACGGCGGGGGTTCGATTGTTTCCATGCACGGCGGGTGCAGTGCAGTGCAGTGCAGCCGGACGCATGGCTGGGATCATGGCGTGGCAGGCAGGCAGGCACAGACGGCACCGGACTGGGTGGTGTTGGTGGGAGGAGGGTCACGGGACATCCAGGTAATGCGCCGTGGTATACCATGTTGGCCAGCACGAACACCAAAGGATCAGTGTTCGCGGCGCTTATCCCTTCCCTTGCGTTCCGATATCCGGGCATGTCCCACCAGGGCCGCATCTAGGGTAGCCCGCTATTGTACGTCCGGAAGCGGTCACGATGTCCGGTTCGGGGCTCTTGGGTATCGTGGAGGGGTTGCCAAATTCTGTTGACTGATATGGTGTTGGTAAATATAGCTCATCTAGCCGATCGCCCATGGGTATGCACGACCAACATCTTGCATAGAGCCCACCTTTGACCTGACGATCCCGCCTAGTTGCGGGTGTTGGCGGACGAGATGCGGGCTTTGACTTTGAGTGTGGACCGCGATGCTACCCAGTTTGGGTGAAAGCCATGCTCTCTGGCCGGGCAGGGTATCGTGCCCTTACTCTGGCCAAGGGGGCGGCCTGGGTTGTTGGTAACGAAGTTGGGAGAGACCATCTGCTGCAAAACGGAGCCACCCGCTGAACACCCGTAGCAAACTGCTTGCATGGGGAGCCCACCTGCTAGGGCAAACCATTATGTATGCATGTAGTATGCAATGTACGCAAGCGGGTCCGGGCAAGCTAGCTCGCCTTAGCAGGGCCTATACGAATGTGTTATAGCCATTTGCGAGTTTGGGCAGAGCTGGGTCGCCTGGCGATGCACAACGCGCGAATCGCAACCGTAGACGGGGCCCGTTTAGCCGCATCAGGTTTAGATGCGCTCGCGCTTCCAGACGGCTGGGACAGCTAGCGCGATCGAACTGGTTAGCGCAAGCGCTCAACCCAGCTCCCAACAGGGTTGGTGTAACTGGCCGTCATATGATGCTCAATTGCCCGTCTCGGCCTGGCCAGGGTCCGCTGCGGACGTCTATCGGATATCGCGCATCGCACATGGCGCATCGCGCATACCCAAGGCACGGAGAACAGCGTACGAACACTGTTTGTACGACCATGTCGGTCGTTTGACGCTTGCTATGATATGACGGTGGGGGAGCAGGGGGATAAGGGCCCGGCTATCGACGCGGAATGCAGCTTCGTAGTTGGCTGATCCGCCCCAGCAGTGTCCAAATCCGGTCTTGAGATGCCATATGCCCGGCCTGGTCTCGCGGGCCTCTGGTATCAATCTTCTCGGTATAGCTAGCTTTGTACAAGCTGACTCGGATCGAGCTAAGCTAGGATTGAAGCGAGTATTCTGTCCAACTTTGTCGGCTGCTGGGTAGGTACGGCGTCCAAGACTGCACAGAGGTATCTTTGACTTGGGATACAAAGGCTCATTGTACTGTCAAGACGATAACCCTAGTCGACCTGCGATGGAGTCATCGTGATCCTGTAAGCCCATCCGAGCTGCTGGGGTGTCTCTAGCAAAACGAGCTTGCACAGGCACAAGGTTTGCTTGCTGCAAGCAACTGCCAGGTATCTTGCAAGCTAATCAGGGCAAATTAGTCCTGATAGGAAAGCAAAGAAAGTGCTGGCATCTTATGGCAGAGAATCTTTTAGCAATTGCTTGGCCAAATGAGGCAATCGATTCGCTTTTCTAGCCGGCTCCTGGATGACGGGACGACATGACCGCCTCCTGACGATTTGAAGCGCAGTCCCAGGCAGCACGAACTGTCAGCAACGGTATCGATATGGCCAAGGGAAATGCCCACAATAATGGCGCAAAGCCAAATGAAAATGGAACTGGAACTTATGGCCATCACCATGGGAAGCACGACATTCTTTGTGACGGATTTGTTCTCTATCCATGTCAAGCATATGGAAACGCCCACGCTAGGGATTTCAACAATGTCGACGACGTGCCGTTTGTGCTTCACCCGTGGGCTCTTGGACCTCGCGCGAAGTCGAAACAGGAATCTGGTGATGCTTTCGTGGGGACTCCCTACGTTGCCGATCCGCTCCAGGTCTGGCCAGCAGTGTTCGCACAGGAGGACGCCCCGGTGACTGCTCACAAAACACCAGACACGTTGGCAGAGCAGAAGCTGTCCCAAGCTGCAAGACAACTACACGACCAAGCCGTTGAAAGTAGGAAGGTTTACGACAGTTTCCATAAAGACTACAGGAAGGATGTCAAAGATGTTGACAAATACGTGACTCAAGACATCCGCCAACGAATATGGGAGGCCAAGGTCGAACGAAACCGAAAATATCGAGAGAAGCGCGCCCAGGAGGACAGGCAGCTCACTCTCCAACGCGACAAGTTAGCGTCGTGCCTGAAAAATATGTACGAGGCCACTGATAAGCTCCCCGGCGGACAGTCATCGGCTGGCGGATACGACTCTCGAGAATTACACTTTGAGAAGCTACGAGCAACAGGAAAGCGAGTTGACCGTTTGGCCGGAAAGGCTTTATCGAATGAAGCAGCCTGCAAAGATCTGGTATCCGAGTTGGCAGATCTGGAGCACCTGGTGAACCCAGAGGAAAGTGCCGCCAAGATACTGTACCGATTCGACAAACGACAAAAGGCTGCAGTCGAAAAAGATGAGAGTGATGAGGAAAGTGCTGTCGATGGGGGTCCCATCGACCTTGAAGACGATGCTGAGTAGGAGCTGGAGATACATTCGCATAGCTGTTGCTAGCAGCCAGGAGTAGGATGATGAGTGATGGTCGAAAGGGGGTGGTCGCCAGGATAGCTCGCCTCACGACGAGTTCAGACTTGTTAGTAGTATCCTAGATTCGAACGGGAGAGGAAGACAAAACTGACCTGGGAAAAAAGAGAGTGGTGAAGCATCGTCCTCAACAGAGTAATCAGAATCGAATTCTGGTGGGCCTCTCACGAGGCTGTCCCAGGCCGCGTATTGGACTCAAGTGTTCGCACACAATCTCCGCAATGGCTCTCCCATAGGGAAACACCGACTGCCCCGTCTTCTCCTCGCGGATATGCACGGGGCGCCAGGCCCTGCTTTTCTGATGCCAGTGTTGCGAGCTATTGAAGCCGGACCCTTACGGGCAGGCCCGTCGACCCTGCCGGGAAGGCAGGCGACTGAGGCAGTGGTGAAGATTACTCCGAATTTCTCATATGCAGGAGAGGCAATGGGCGGGACCTCCAGAGGGAGGCCCGTCCCGAGGAGCTGCTCGCGCAGCCCCTCCGTTTGTAGCATAGAAACGCGGCGTTGAAGAGGACGATGCTTGCACGAGGAAAGTAAAAATTCAAACGCGCGGTGACTCGAAATCTGCAATGAGGTTGAGGTGCTGTGTGCCTGAGGCTCATGCGGCCAATCAGAGTCCGCATGTGGTGGAGTCTGGAGTAGGGCTGGTCTCCACCGCCGGCGGCGTCGTGGCGCGGGCCTGAGTCAAATCGTGGCGTTGGGCTTTCAGAAATATTCTGAGTTAGCCGCAACGTTCTGGCCAGAACAAACGAAACCCCTTACCCCAGAGAGCACTAATTTCCTCAGTACCATGATATCTCCCTGTCGTAGGTAGCCCGGATCTGACAATGTCTTTCCTAATTTTCTGACGTCCCTCGATCTCCCTGTTCCATCTCTTGTACTCCCTTTCATTTGTCTCTTGCGTCGTCCTGTTTCTTATAAGTCCCACAAAAGCCCGAAAAAATGGGTCACGGCTCTCCCTTGGACTTCCCGCAGGTCTGGCAGAGACCCTCGTTCGAGGACCTCATTGCGTGTCTCAGGAAGCTCCAGGTCGAGCCTCCCGTCTGGAACCCGAACACGCCCCGCCGGGTCATCTTGGAGAACCAGTACAACGCGGCGCGCTCCCGCAAGGAGATCGCCGCTTATCTGGCGAGCGTCATCAAGAGCGATTTGCGATGGATCAAGGATGACGAGCAGAAGGAGGCGCTGTGGGACGAGGCGAGCAGGCGGTTCTCAGAGCGGTGCGGCAGGGCGGGCATGGGCGAGATCACGCGCAGGTGGCCGTTCGCCAGCGAGGCCTACCTTTCCTTCGAGCTGATAGTCCGGGAGCCCCCTATCACGGGAGACGCCCTCGGCCACAAGACGTGGGGATCGTCGTATTTCCTTGCACAGCTTCTCGACCAGATTGCGGCCAAGTCTCTCTCTCATCTCTTGGCACCGGAGCTGGGTCCCCCCTCCAATGTGTTGGAGTTGGGTTCAGGCACAGGCCTCTGCGGCATGGCTGCGGCAGCGATCTGGGGAACGCATGTGTACCTGAGCGATCTCCCCAACATCGTGCCCAACCTTGCTCATAACATTGAAAAGAACCGAGAGACGATCAAGACCCTTGGCGGCAATGTAGATGCTGGGTCCTTAACATGGGGAGGCTCTGACGAGGACGACGATGACGAGATGTTTGCGCAGAAGAACCAGTTCAAGGTGAGTAATACTGACACCACGGTGTCAATAGGCATGCTTACGGGCGGCATAGATCGTCCTCATCGCCGATGCGCTCTACGACGATGACCACCCTGCGCTGCTCGCGTCTGCCGTTCGCGACCACTTGATGCACAGCGACGATGCGCGGGTCGTGATGATGACCCCGTTCAGGGACGACATCACGAGAAAGCTCTTCGCCCAGTTCAGGGAGACTCTGGCAAGTGGCGAGCGGCCCCTTGTGTGCCTGGAGGAGCATTCCCTGACGGGTATGGATGACTGGGGCGAAGACGAGGAGCCCTCGGAGATCGAGTGCTGGTGGGGTGTATTTGGGAGTGCACCCAAAAAGTGAGATTCAAGACCGACGATGCTATTATGATGACGACACGATCAGAGACGCCGAGACTACGAAATTAGAGGGCCAGTAGACCTAGATGATACAGAGGCGTGCTTAGAAACGACAACCTCGCGGCTGCAACCTGGCTTAGAATGCTATTTAGACTAGAAAATAGATTCAGTTTGTCCCAAAACGCTCGCTGTGTACAGTCTTGACATGTCGAAGATTTACTAGACCCCCTACTTTACACTCTAGCAGGCAGACCGCATATATACTGGAAGTAGATGGGCAGATGTTTAGGATCTCGCCGGTCGTTGATCTGAAAAATACAAGTTCAGGTTTCTCCGGTTTACAAGCGTCCACGAATTACAAAGACCGGGGTCCACTGATAGAAGACCACCATTTGTAACACACAGAGGAGCCATGTAAAGCAACAGAATACTAAGGACCAGGCAGCCCAAGGCGCCTGTACCAATGCGTTCGGAAGTGCTGTTCTGTAGGGCCAATGGGGCATCGAAACAAAAGTCGGCGTGATCATTCAAATGCCGAGGAGTTATGGATACAACACCGTAGAAATGGTGTTCAGCACCATTGTATCTCGAACTAATACCGTCCATGGGCAGTATACACAAAGTGAGAAGAATCGACCCGCAAACTCCAGCGTCTTCCTGGACGCGAATGCCATGAGTTCCTGTATCCATATTCCAATCAACCAATCGTGCGCCTCACATCCGAAATAAGCAGTTGACTCCAAGGTCTCGTTCACGTCGTGCAGAGGGGGTGGGCCAGGATTGTCCCCGTAACACCCCTTTGGGTGTAGTTTACAAGATGATTTCTTTCGCGTCCTTCACCGAGCCCTCGTTCGGGCAGTAGGGACATTTGTACCGGCTTCCCTTGCTGATCCGCTGCAGACTCTCCCGTGCGAGTACGTGCCCGCAGGGTAGGATCACTGGTGGGTTTTCTGCTGTAGTCTGCTCCTTGCTGACGGGACACACGAAGATGGAGTGGTAGACCATGCTCTTAGGCAAGCGCGTCTCGAATGCCATTTCTTGTGTCGTGGTCCACTCCGTGTTCTTGCCCTTGACCTTGTTCAGGAACTTCATGAGCTGCGGCAGCGCTATGGCACCGGCCGTGGCGGCAACGTATAGAGGTGACTCGGCAGACAAGCCGAGGAGCGAACAGAACTCGCGGGTGAAGGATGCTGCGACCTCGTCAAAGGCCATGGCAATGTCGAAGATGGACCGGTAAGGCGACGCGGGGAGATTGGAGGCGTATACCATGGCACAGCTGAGCTGCTGGATCTCGCGAATATGACGATGTTGAAAGCGTCCAAAGTTCTCCCTGGCGTAGTACAGAGCCCCTAGGCGGCCGTTCTCGGGTGTGTCTGGAAGGCCATTGACCGAAGGGCCCTTGAACAGCCATATGAACTGAAGTTTGCAGAGCTCAAACTCAAGATTGGAGCCCCGCGCCTCCAACTCGGCACAGTTGGAGCGGGCCCAGTTTATGGCGGGCAGCAGCTTGCGTTCCTTCAACGAGGAGAGTATGGAATACATCTCGGCGAACGAGGACTGCAGTGTCTCGGACTGCAAGGCCGAGAGCTCATCCATGGGGGTGAGATGAGATTCATAGGGCTCTGGAGAGCGCCGCGATGTGGGGGAAGTGACACTCGATGGCGACAAGGGCGACAACTGTGACTGGAGCTGCGATATCGAAGACTGTGGCCGTTGTGGCTGGGCTTCGGCTATGAAGGCTGAAGCGACACCAAACTGGCCTTCCCGCAGCAGATGCATGGCGATGGCGCGGTTGATGAGGGTGGGGTGTTGTGCCATGGGATCATGGTCCTCGGGCAGGCTTCCTTTGGTGTCCTTGTCGGTCGTCAGGGCCTTCTCGAGGGCCTTCCCAAACTTGACCTGGCCCTTGTGTACCACCTTTAAGTCGTCGAGCACGGCATCCAAGCCTCTCTGGACAGGGTTCTGGAGCTTGGTGAGGGTGAGGCTGGTGACATGGGGGTCGTTGGCTGTGAGGAAGGTCAGCATAGGTCACCGGGAAGCGCTATCTGGTCAACAGTCGGGCTACGGACCTCTCTCGACCTCGGACCTTGCGGCAGTCAGGAGATCGATGATCTTGTCGACGTTGGCCAGGGAGTTGGAGAGCTGGGCCGTGTCCTTGAGCTTCTCCAGCTCCTTCTCGAGAACCTCCATAGCCATGTTTGCGGGCGTGGGCGGCTGTGGCCGCGAGTGTACCGTCGACTACGGGCGGTCGTCGAAGCTGCAGATAAGGGCCTCGGTGCTCGATGGGGGTGCAGACGGCACTGGTGTGTGAATCCGGTGGATCTCGGCCTGGTACTCGCAGCGTTTCATGGACCCAACGTCATGGCGGTGGTGAGGGTTCCGTCGGGCCGTTGCCGGGGGCGTTGCTGCAAGTTTCTTGGAGGATGTTGTTTGGGTTACGAGGGGAGGGAGAGGTCAGATTGAGTTCTGATTGCGAGCGAGCTATGAGCCATGGGCCATGGGCTATGAGCGATGCGTGCCCAGATCGGGTGATGGGGGGGGGGGGGGCAATGTCGTTAAGCTCACAGTGGGCCTGCGGGCTTGCTTGGAGGTGGCCCGTAGGCTGCCCAGGTGGTACTAGCTGGCTGCGTTTTGCGGTGTCCAGCGTGGCCCAGGTCCTCAGGTCCTGTCCTGCTGTCGACGGGCGCCTGGGTGGCCGACGTACCCGCTTGTGTGGGGTGCATAAGTTGCGTTGTGCATGTACCTACCTACCTAGGTACCTGTAGACCGACAGTCTGTGGCTGAAGACTGGATTTACGGCATACCGGAACATGCTGGTGGTTACCTGTCTTGACTGTCTAGGTAGCCACTGGTTCAAGCGCAGTACGATTGGGAGGGAGATTGCATCTCTATGTAAGTAATCGACATGTCCTTGAGCGAATGCCCCATCTGCTTCCTCTCGGAATCTGGTGAGAGCGCCGCCCCAAGACTTGCGACTTGCCGTGGTCCATACCCATACCCATACCCATACCTAGTTGACTAGGTACCCACCTGGGCACCCTGAGGCGTGCCACGGGTGCGAATGACGCATGAACCGACCCCGCCCCAATCAAAGCCACTGGACTTCTAGCGGCGTCCTCAGCTAACTAACAGGTTGCCAGCTCCCCCTAGCTTTGGCCCGGCTGGCCAGTGACAAGGATGGCTCAGGGCCGTCCGAAGCAGGGAAACCGTCACCACCACCCGACATCTCTCTCCATACTTAAGTAGTCGGCTTAGGGTGCAGGGGTTCCCAAATGTCCCTCCCTCGCTCCCCGGGATACCATCACATGCGTTCCTCATCTACCCACGACGGCAGATAGACCCCTCGACCTTCTCTTTGTTCTACATATCTTGCTGCTGCAGGACCAAGCCTCTCAGTGTAATGCCTCCTCGACCATGCACCCACGACACTCGCCCCGAGTAATCCCACGAGCCGCGGCGTCTACCCATCCTGACCCGGAGCCATGGCCTTCCGCTTCACCCTGCCCGCCTCGGATGGGAGGCTACACAAAGAAGAGGACATCTCACTGATGAGGGCCGCCTCGCACCGTATTTCCAGCAGCAGCAGCAGCAACATCCACAACCACAACCACAACCACAACAGCAGTACCAACAACAACAAGTCCAACCAGCTCGACGGCACGCACACTCCCGCGCCCGACAGACGCCAGTCCACCCCGGTCGAATCAACAGCCTCGCCCGCCCCCAACCGCCGCCATGTCGTCTTCGCCGACCCCGTCGCCTTTCGTTTCCTGGAGGAGGACCCCTGCGTCACTGTCGTTGAGCGCAAAGGCGTACTTCGCGGCTACGAACTATATCTCGTCGAGCAGTGGGCCTGCTCCCGCAAGTCGCCCTCTCTGGTCATTGTGACGTATACCGGCGATCAGCGCCATTCCGTCGTCGTCGGCGTGTTGAGTGTTCCTGAGGACGAGGGTGCCTGGTCGCCGCGGCTGCGGCTCTACTTTGACGCGGTGCAGCAGTACCATGCACGACCGAAGGAGACGCCCATAGGGAAGGCCATGGTCACAAATCTAAGCAGCTTCCCCTCTGCCTTGACGGTGATACCCGTGCCGGACGGAGATATCAAGAAACACCGTCAGGAGTTTATAGTCAACGAAAACCTCAAGCGTCTGGGCTGCTCCGGTCGAGCTGGCTTGACTCTCTCCGAACCGACGGCTGCGGCCAAGGCCAAGTTTTACCAGTCATACAAGGCTAGCGAAAAGGTTCCCTTTGCCGAGGCCGTCGTGGAGCTTGTCAAGCTATGCCAGGTCGCTCTCTTCATATTCGGCAAGCTCGAGCCCGAGTATATCGATGGGCTTCTGTGCGACGTGACTGAAACGTCCGTTGGCGACTGGTGGACCGAGTTCGGTGCCGATTACTACAACATCGAGCCCACCGACGGCATCCTAGGCCCAACCACTGTCGTTGCGCTCCTGGGCCTGTTGATGGGGGCAAGGAACCGGCTCAGTTACTATGGTGCCCCCATCGGCAAAGACGTCTTCGACATAGACGGGACCAAAAGGGGAATTAGCTATTTTCAGAAGTCCCAAAAGCTGGAGCGAACGCGGCGGCTGGATCGTCAGACACTGCACAGACTTCACCATGTGACCGCAAAGGCGGCTGCGGGCGAGGGCTGGGGTGTCCAGAAGGCCGTCAAGTCGACGGTCACGGAAATCGGAGGAAAGCGTGGCGAGATCGTCCTGGGCATGGTGGGCGGCCGCGATAAAGGTGGCATAGGAGACATTGAGACTTTGGACATGGGCAAATTCGTCAGCTTAGCCCATGGAGAACGCGCGAAATGGCTCTGGCTGGGTAAACCCAAGCGTGCCACCATCGAACATCACGAGAGGTCAATACCGGACATGTCCAATCTTCTGTTCGGCAGAGAGGAACCCGTCACCCAACCCAAGAGGGCACAGTCCATACCATTGGAAGAAGAGATCGAAATGCTGAGGAAAGAAGAGTCCCCAGGCATCTACTCAGCCCCGACACCGGGCTCGGTTACTAGTATTTCGGCAGAGAGCCCCGGAGACAGGGATGCATTGCGGAGAGGCGTCTTCAAGAGTGTAGCCGGGAAGTTCGGTGATGCTCGTTCCGGCTTTGGACGAATCAAGGACGCCGTCTACAGCGGAGGCGGCTTGAGAAGTCATGCAAGCCGTCCATCCCGAGATGACTCGATGGAAGCGGCTTATTCGAGTACCAATCCTTCCGTTCTGACGGGTTCATCCGCCGGACTTGTGGCCAGTCCAACCCAAGGGATTAATAGAGCTTTCACCTGGAAGAACAAACCCGAAGAGTACCGCCATGCTTTTAAAGAGGAAGTCGATGTCACCTCTGCGCCTACTTCAGTTGGCCTCCTGGGACAGCCAGAAACGTCCACGAGCGAATCGCAGTCCATGAGCCAAACAGAGGAGAGGACACCAAATGGGGAAATCAAACGCTTTTCCCAAGCTACTGAATTACGTCACGAGCTTGCGAAAATCGATACCTCAGCTGCCGCCTCCGCAGTCGATAAGACCCAACTGCAGGGCCCAGCGTTGGGAGCCGAAAGACGGCTCGACCAATCCGTGGCACTACTTCACAGGCGTCACAGTGTTGCCGGCTTACGGCCAGATGAGCGGTCTTTGAATGAGAGCAGATGGCCCCGGCGATTATCATTTGGAGATGCTGAGGAAGCTGTGCTGGGGTGGACTGCATTGACAATCTTGGATGATGATGAAGACGCAGATGCCGCAACAATACTGGAGCGGCAAGCTCAGCTTGCAGAACTGGCCCGCAGCCTCTATCTCAATATTCTCAGCATAAAAGAGGGCATCGAGCCTTGGGTTGATACAAGGATCAAGTCCGTCGAGGCAATGGAAGAAACCTACGCCAAGCAGCAAGACGACCTACAAACCCTGTACTACCAACTGACGGATGCGTACCAGCATACCAAGCAAGGCTCACAGGAACTGATCGGTAGCGAGCGGGCGCAGATCACCGAAGCGGTTAAGGATGTCGAGGTACTGGTTGCGAAGCTGGAGTACGAGATTAACGCCCTCGTTTCGCGGGTGCAGGATGTCGAAGATGGTGTTGCCCATTTCGAAGTCCAGGTAGATGCGGTGGAGAGGAAAGTCGAGGAGCTCAAGGCCCAGCTCGAGACAGAGAGCTGGCTCCACTGGGCCGTGAGGACTCTGACGGGCATCGGCACAGGGCCGAACATTACGCAGGTCCATGATCATGACCAGACCAAGTAGATTTCCTTTTGGTATTTTTGGGTTGCCGTCACAAGAATAGCAGGGTTTCAAGCACAAGGATACCCACGTTGTGGTGTTTAGCATAGCGTCAGGCGATGGATTTGTTTTACTTTCCTTATTGGCTAGACAGTGTCTTTGAAGCTGGATACCCCTAAAGACAGCCTCTTGCGAGTCATAGTACATACATGGGTAGAGGAACTGCGACGAATATAAGAACCACAATACCAAATCTAAAAATAATGCTGATTTATATGCTCACCGACCAGTTCTTACATTCTCATCAGACAAGTCTTTACATGTTCATCCGCAATGTATTTACACGCTCATCGAGGGGCTCATTTCCGGCGTGCGCGCGCTAAGGTGGCAGATCTGCGTATCGACAAGCATACAGGGGTGGCTGGGATCTGTTTAACTTACACAGTAGCAGCAATCTGTTCAAGACACCACCCTTCACCACCACACTACACTTGACCGGTCCTGATACCATCAGAGTGCAACAGGACGAGATGCCGCCCGAGAGGATCCACCGCGCCCGCCGCTATCGCGGCCTACGAGATGCCAAGGGCTCCCGGTGGCACGGCAAGGGCTTCCGGGACCACGGGAGCATGTGGATCAACGTCAACGAGGGCTTCACGCGGGGCCGGGACGTCCCCGAGCACATGCGCCTCGACTTGTTTGTAGACACGCTGGATGGTGAGTTTGACTACGTTGCCTTGCTTCTCAGCCAAGCCGTTGAGCTATATATCTCTTGCCCCGGTCTTGGAAATCCTTTTTTTTTTTTTTTTCGTGTTTTTTCCTGCTCGGCTTTATCCTGACATCGCCCGCAGAACACCCGGATGCCATCAACCCCGGCGGGTGGTGCGACGTCTTCTTCCGCAAGACGTCCCTGTTCGACCTTGTCGAGGAGCACCCGGACGATCTCGTCGAGGACTGGTTCGACGGCGGCGAAACCGTGTATCGCAAGGTGCGTTCTCTCACACATGCCATGCTCCCCCTTGACACTCAACTATCGAGGTGTGGTGTGTGTGTGGTCCGGGCGAAACAGTCCCCCATCAAAACTCTAACGTGCGGCATATCTATCCAGTACTACGACGCCGAGGGCTATGAGATCAACGTGGTTCTGGGCGAGCGCAAAGGCACCAAGCCCCAGCCCCGGCGCCGCGGCTCGCCGCGCCAACGGCTCCACACCGGCGATCCGGGCTTCACCCTGATGTACAACGAGACGCAGTACCGTGACTTTATCAGCCCGGGCTTTGACGACCGGTACGACCAGTGGCAACGGCGGCGGGGGCAGCTCTACGGGATGCTGGAGCCGCGGTACTTTGAGGAGCCCGAGCCCCGCGTTCGGCCGCAGGTCTACAGCACGCCAGAGCCGCCGTATCTCGAGGAGCCCGAGCCCCGCGTGCGACAGCAGGTCCGCCAGGTCGTGCCCCCGCGCGATGCCGGGGCTGAGCACGAGCAGAGGCTCCGACGGGCGCGCGCGGTGGGGCGCACGCGCGAAGAGGCTGCGGTGCTGGAGGCGGCCCTGGCAAGGCGGCGGTGGCGGCGTCAACGTGAACGAGAACAAGGACGGTAGTAAGCTTTGCGTTGATTGATATGCTGTACTGTGAATTCTCGAGCGTGGTTTCCACACCGAGTTGAGAAGGGATCCGGTATCTCGTGTACTTTGGCTTGCCCCGGCGGTTTTGGATGATGTGCTAGAGAAACAACATGCGGTGTATGATAATGAAGACTATAGTCGACATATAAAGAGGGGGGGGGGGGGGGGGGGGGGGGCGGCTAGGAGAAACGTGTAGTGCAACCTTTTATCGACTTAGAACACTTAACTATAAATATCTTTATAGAAGTGCCTGTATTAAATTTGCCAGTTTGTATTAGTATATGTCCAACGCTGAGTCTCCCCTCTGCGGCCGCTAATCCATTATATTACACAAAATATACTGGGAAGTAACAAGCTCTGCTGTTAGTCTTATTAACTAGCTACCGGCTAGGGTACATAGATGTGTCAACTTTGAGGTGGAAAGACACTGTACCATTCTCAGCCGTGTCCTTGTTCGATTCATCCTTTAAAAGCTTTTCCGCGTATGTTATCAAAGTCATGATGAGCCATGGAAACCCACATGACCCAAAGTAGTTGACGACACCCTCCATGGTCTTGTTAATAGCATCAATATAATCGATATCAAAAGCCATTGTTGGCCTATCAAAGTTTAATCCCCTTATCTCCCCTAGATGCCATTGGCATTATTACCGTGATCTATATCCACAACTGATGCAATATCATTAGAAAAATAACCTAAACATGCCCAAACACTTCCAAAACTCCAGTCATCTGCATTCGTAACGGCGTGAGAAATCATGAAACCCCCGTCCCAAATAAATAAAACCACCCTCCCCCCCTATTTATCCATGTCAGACCAAGTAAACCAAACGCAATGAAGCAGGACACCGCTGACACGCCCAAAACTCTCAATGGTCCCTTTCTACCTCCCTTCAACAGCTGACGCCCCATTCCCCAAACAGGCCCCTGAGACACTCTTCACTCCGCCGCCCAACAACCTCGAGCGCGGCCCAGTCCTCGGCCTCGGTGCACCACTCGCGGAGCAGCAGGAGGCCCTCAAAGTTGTAGATGCTGGGGCCGGACAGCGCCCAGTCGAGCGCGACGGCCTCCTGCATCAGGTGGCGCGCGAACTCGTGATGGCGCCACCGCTCCGCAGTGCTCTGTCCCTCCTCCACCACATCCTCTCCTGTCCCCATGTTGACATCGGCACCAGCATCCCACATCACCGTGTCCGGATGTCGCTGCGGCAGCTGAGGCTCGCCGCACTGGGCCCGGTGGAACAGCGCCATGGCCGTGAGGCAGTTAACCTCGGTCTGGTCCGGGGCCGCCGGGGCCGCGGCATCCGACATGGCCGTTGCGCGCTCCGTCTTGGCGGCCAGCAGCCGCTCGCACGCCCCGTACACCTCGGCGTCGCGCCAGCCGCTCTCCCAGCCCAGGTCGAGCAGCAGGAACGACTCGACGTAGGCCAGGCTGAGGTCATCTTCCTGTGCTGCCGCTGCCCCTGCTTCTTCTTCGTCTTCTTCGAAGACTGGTGGCGCCGCCTCGGGGTCTGCGAGCGCCCGGAGCATCTCCCCGGGGTGGATCGCCGCGAGGGACGGCGGGCTGCTGCCGCCGCCGCCGTTGCCCTTGAGGCGGTGGCTCCGGTGGCTGCGCAGCGTCTCGCCGTACCACAGCGAGACCATGTCGTAGTACTGGGCGGCGTCGGCCAGGTTGTCCATGGCGTCGAGGACGAGGGCGAGCAGGAGGCCGTTGCGGCGGGCGGCGTCGTGCTCCTCCTCGAACAGGCGGGCGATCTGGCGCAGGGCCCGGCGGCACGGGTGGGCGGGCCCCAGCCGGATGCGCGCCAGCTCGGCCAGGTGGCCCCAGAGCGTGCGGTGCAGGGCTGCGTGGCCGTCGTCCGGCAGCACCACGATGATGATCAGCAGGTTGAGCACCGGGTACAGCAGGTGCGCCGCGTCGTCTAGCAGGAGCCGCAGGCGGTCGAAGACCGTGTGCGCCAGCTGCCAGCCTTGGCGGGTGTGGTTCTGGTTGAGGAGCCTGTGAGAGAATATGTCAGTATCTGACCGAGAGCTTTTACTTTGTAGTTGGCATTGGCTGTGCTTCATCTCCGCCTCAGGGGGGAGTTTGGTACAAGCCCCTGAGACCAGATCCAAACGGACCAACTTCGATAAACTGACTGGGAGGAAAAGAATTCGAGATATACTCACCAGATGGCATCATAATACTCAGCTGCAACAGTGCTCGCGTGACTGTCACAATAGACCTGTAACGGCCTCTCACACATAGGGTCTCTGTTCTGCCACGAGCCATCCCACGACTCGCTCTGCATGGTCGCCTCGCCGCTAAACCTTCTGCACTCGCCTAAGAACCACTCGCCCACAACCTCTTTGATACTGAGGGACCCGGGAGTCCGCAGCAGACCGCTCGACAGCGGGCTCGTCGACGTAAAAAATGGAGGCGGCGGTGTGAGACACCTCAGGTACGCCGGTAGGTCGGCCTCGGCCTCGGCGTCATCGGCGGACCGCGGCGTCGACCCGGCGCCGGCCAACAGCAGCAGGTCGTCGGCACTGACGCCCTTGCGGCGCAGGTAGGTACGGGTGTCGACGCGGCGGCCGTTGCGCACGGGGATCGAGTCCTTGCCGGCGGCGGTGCGGCCGGCCTGCGTCTTGAGGATGGCGGCCACGTCGGCGGCGCGGTTGTTCTTGAAGAGCCGCCAGTGCTTGAGCTTGGTCTTGTATTGCTTCTGTCTTTTCGAAGCCATCCCCGAGTGTTGAGTCAGTCATTGTTCATTGTGGGATGTGGTCAAGTAGGACTACGCTTGATGATATTCGACGGAGAGAAGGAAAGACAGAGAAAGAAAGAAAGAAAGAAAGGAGTGAAAGGGGCGGCAGGAAACAACTTGTTTTATTTAGCCTCGCGGCGAGGTTTATCTTGTAGGTTTTACTTCATAGGTGAGCATGACTCGACGAGTAAGGCAGAATGGGCTTAAAGGGGCTATATGATTTTACAGCTTGTAGGGAAGATCAACTATCATGGGCGTCATACATGGTCTTCTCGTAAGATACGAATCACTGCATTGGTTGACCAGTAACTAACTGGCCTTTTCAATTCATATACTGGGGCAGGAACAAGTAAAAGGGGTGAATAAAACTCAAGAACTGGTACAAGAGAAAAGCAGTAGTACGTACGAGGCCGTGAACCCGCGCTGCTGGCTCAGCACACCCATGACATACTGCAGTGTCCTGTCCTCATCGATGTAGAGCCGCCTGATCTCGGCGCGGTGGACTTCCCACTCCTCGGGAGGGACGTGTTTCGCCGGGGCCATGGTCGCGGATTCTTCGTGTGTGTAGATAGATAGATCTATAGGGGCAGGCAAGCCCGATTGGGAGGACAAGTGAAGCTTTCAAGATCACAACTTCGCTCAGGGGAAATAATCGCAGCCTCAGTCAATTGACATACAATTAACGTCCCCGACAGTCGCGCGGCCCGACGATTTCGAGCCAAAGGACAATGACAATACCCAAGGCAAGCAGAGATGAAGAAGAAGACTACGTAGTCTTCCTCTTCCTCAACCCCGACTCTCCAGGCTTGAGCAGCCCGACGGACACCTCTAATATAAGCCCGCGGAGCAACTTCCTTCCTTCCCTTCCCCCGCCGCGCCCTGGCCCTCAGCCGCCAGCCGGCGATATCCTCCTCCTGCTGCTGCTGCTGCTGCTGCAGGCTTGCTTTGGGTTCTTTTGCGAGCCACGCTGCCCCCCAGCCCGGCGGGCAGCCTGACCGGCACAGGAGTTTTGGCCATCTGACAGCGACGCGGGCACGGGATTGGTCCGGGGGGGCGCAGCCCCCCTGCACGGGCGGGCCTAGCCTACACCGCGACATGCCTAAGTGAGTAGGGCCCAGGGGGGGACGCAGCAGGCCCGAACTCGACCCCGAGAGACAAAAGTGCCCTCGCGAAGGGAATAATCAAGATACGAGCGCAGCTGTCACCGCATCTCGGTCGCTTCGTTAGGTGCAAGTTGCTTCGATCCGGGAGTGCCAAACTGCCGAGAAGAGAAGACTCTCCCACTCATTTGCAAGGTTATACCAGCGGTTGTTGTGCTTTTATTGCGCGGAGTGCTCGCCACCAACACAACGGGTCCTCCACATGCTTACAGACCGGTAGAAACCCGAGCTGGATAGCCTTTAGCATCAAATTGGTACATATATCGCATGAAAGAAGGCTTGATACAACATGAATACAGAGCACTGTCGTTCGTATCTGAAAGGGGGACGCAGGGTCATTATTTTCTTCTTGCGTTCATATAGCTTGCAATGCTCCTGAGAACAAACCGAGGAGCTGGCTCACAAACTCCCCGAGCCATGGTATCTTATACATGCGGCGTCCAACTGTGCCGTTTCCTTGCGTTTTCCCCTATAGTGTCCTCGCAACGCCCAATCGAGTGCCTAGATAAACAAAAAGCTGCTGGCAAACAAGCATCCTGCCGCAGACTTCGTCACAAAACTGCAAAGTCCTCTTCTATTCCGTGGTGTGCCGTCCCGTTCCCCGGGCTCACAAGAATGCCGCAGACCCCTAGTCATCGTCGGGCTTCTTCTCGTCTGGGCCTTCAGCATCAGCTGCCGTGGTCTGGGCCGGAACCTCTCCCTTCTCCTTGGGCTCCTCCGACGAAGGGGCGTCGACAGGGACGTCGGTAGAGCCTGCATCCTCTTTTAGCTTCTTGGTCACGCCTTCGAGCTCGTCCTCAGCCTCGCGCTTGGGCGTCGAAGACCTGACCCTCGTCGTGGCCGCCTTCTCGATGCCATCCATGGCGTCCTCCTTGGTCTCCTCGGCGCCAGAGGAAGGCTTCGGCTCGGGGGAGGTGTGATGGGACTCGGTGGCCTTGCGTCCCACGGCTGCCTCCACGTCGATGCCCTGCATCTCCACGCCGGGCCCGCCAACATAGCTGGTCGCAGAGCTGCCTTCGCGCTGCGGTCCCATGTCCTCGGGGCCGATCTCCTCCGGCCCTCGTGCATGTGGCTTCTCGTCCTCATCAGCGCCCGCGACAGTGCCCACAACCTCGCCGCTCTCCACGGCTTGCTCGGCAGCGGCGATACTGGAAGTAGAAGCAGTAGCATCAGAAGAAGCAGGGGCTCCTTCGCTCTGTCCAGTACCGGGTGCAATAGGAGCGGCGGCACCGCCGGCAGCAGGACCAGCAGAAGCAGATGGGGCAGCGCGGAGCTGTTGCTGGGGATGGTGGTGGGCGTGGTGGCTTGCCAGCTGAGAGACAGGCACAACGCCAGCACGCTGCTCCTGGCGCAGCAACTCACCCTGCGTCACGCCAACACCGCGAGTACCCATCGATGATATGCCATTCACCGTCACCGTCACGGTCTCAATGTGCCCCATGCCATTGGGCCCGTCGATAGTTTCCGTGCTTTCCGTCCGTAGCTCCGGAGAGTCGGCAGGGTCGTGGCCATTGCCGTTTGTGCGGCCTGAAGCCGTCTCGCCTTCGGCGGATGCTTGGGGTTGCGGTTGCGGTTGGGGGGCTTGCTGCTGGGGCTGCGGCGACAGGGCTTGTACCGCCGCACTGTTCTGAAGCCAGGGGATGGGGGTAAGTAGGGCGCCGCCCAGAGCTTCGTCGCTCCCAGGGGTGGCGAATGGGTTGGGCCCGTTCGTGTCCGAGACACCATTCGAGAGCACGCCGCCGGTGGGGACTTCGGGGACTGCGGGAGGGAGAGGATAGATATTCAGGCCCGAGGTGACGTGGACAACACGGTCCAGGGCGTGGAGATAGCTGGGCAGCGACTTGTAGTGGTGCTTGGGCGCAAGGACCAGCTCGGCGAGGCGCTGTACCGTATGAGGCGGATACTTGGGGAAGGTGGATGTGAGGGTGGTGGTGATCTCGGCGAGCATGGCCGCGATCTGTTGCGGCAGGGTGCCGGGGGCCAGGGGCTCCGGGCCCGGCGCAGGCACCGAGGTGGGCGGAGGCGCGGACCGGGGCGCGACGGGGGCGTTCTCCTTGTTGGTGTCCTGCGACGACGTGGTGCTGGGAGGATTCGTGGGCGAAGATGGAAGGGGCGGCAGGAAGTTCTCTGTGTCTTCCGAGTCGGAGGGCGCGGGGTGCGGGATGGAGGAGGGGATGACGGTGGGCGGCGGCGGCGGCAGGTTCGGTATAGGGAACTCATTGTGCGCGATCTGGGGCTCTCGTGTCAGCGCAGGGGCACAGCAGCTTGAGAGCTGGCCACTTACATTCTCTATCCGGGAGACAAGACTGGCGAGCAGGGCTGGCCAGACGGAGCTGTTCGGTAAAGGCCATGTCAGCGTGTGTAGTTCGGATGCATTGGACGTTGCAGGGTGCGGGACGTACTAGTCCATAGAGCCGCCAGCAGCGACGCTGCGCAGGATGTCATCATCGTCGATGTCCATCATGGCGGGCAGGTGGGTGACAGGAGCCTCGCGGTCGGACGGTCGGTCGGTCGCCGTCCCGTTCCCCAGCGGTCGGACGACAGCGGCGGTGGTGCGGGTCTGTGGGTGGTGATGCTGGCCGGCCGGTCGGTCCAGGTCGGTCGGGGTGAGGGTAGATGGAGGCTGGAGGCTGGAGGCTGGCGCGCGTGGGTTTGGCGGTTGACGTAGTGGCACGCGCCCGTGTCGGCCCAAGTTTTGCGGCTCCGGCGCGCCGATTGTCGACGGAGATCTGGGGCCAGGGGCCTGGCGGCTGGCGGCTGGCGGCTGGCTGCTGGCTGGCCCAAGGCAAGTCAAGTCACGACGACGACGGTAAGTTATGTACCGTTTCTAAATTTAGCCCACCACACTCTTCTGTTTAGCTGGCTGCTGGACCTGCATGACGAACGGGCGCCACTGCTATGGTATAGACCCGGTCAACGATCCAGCCCACATGGCTCCATTCCCTAGGTGTTATGAAGATCTCTTATTACGGAATGCATTGAACAGTAACTTGGTAACCTTGAACGTCGGGCCAGAGACCAGAGATCAGAGATCGGAGATCGCTGGCTGCAGACCCAACCCAACAGCTTAGGTATCCTTCCCGGTAGTCCATTGCACACTCGGTACCTTGATATCTGGCGCAACGTTGGAACGTTGGTCGGTGACCAGGTCGTCGCGTGTGGTCATGGCCACTCACACAGTCCATCGACTAGTAACTACCCTTGCACCGACCGCCCGAATAAGCTTTCTCACCGCAGACGGAGAGCCCGTCCAGACCGCAAGCTGCAGACTCCAGACTCCAGAACAGGGCGTGCAGGACTGCCTCCCGTTTCATCTGTTCTCCCCTCTCCCTATTCTGGAACGGCGACACACTCACACCACGCCTATCATGATATATGGTCATTTATTTAGACTTGGGCCCTTTGCCCGTTTGGACCATCTGCCATGGTCCATGGCCGCCCATCCCACTGAGTTGGTCAACTATGCCTTTTCGAAGGACCATCGGATCTCCGGCATTGGCACACCCAGGTTTCGGCCTGCGGCATCTGCCTCTCCAAGTTGCCTTGTGCGCGTGTGTACGCATCCGCCTGACTAAACCGAATCTGCATGTGCCGTATTTCCCGAGCCCGCGAAGACAGGAGTCTGCCAAAACACAGCGTTTGGCGGGCAGTGGACGGAACGGAGGAAGGTGTGAACCAAAACCCAAGAAACATTCCGTCACATGTGTGTGTATGTGTGTATGTATGGAATTGTATGTATGCCATGGTGGTTGACTCCCGCTCCCCATTCGTGTGTGCCAAGCCGATCGCTTGAACAGGAGAACCTACCACAGCGCACCCTGCATGGAAGGGGGGGCTCAGCAGTGGGCGCGTCTTGGCGATACAACTGTGCCTCGTTGGCCTGGATGCCTCGCAGAAGCCCGTCTCCTGGCAAATCGTCAGGGCTGCAGGGGGCATCCCACACGTCTCGAACGAACCGTGACGTCGAGCATGACTGCCAGAAACGGGGAATTTCTCGAAACGAGGGCCTTGTCTTTTGGACCGATGCCGTACCCGGGAGGGATCCTTCGGTGCCTGGGTGCGTCTCTACTAGTTTGCTAGCTATTAGTTCACGTACGCAGAAGCTACTGACAGTCAAGTTACGCGGATGGACACCTCTGGGGATTGGTTCCAGCGGCGCCATCCACTAACAGGGTTCACACGATTGCCAATCTGTCGACCAGGGGCATACACATAAGTCAAGTTACTATGGTACAATCGTGAAAAGTCAATGGAAACCGCTCGTCAGCTTGGTCGAGAATAGGAATAGGCTGCAGAAAGATTGGGCCCATGGGCCAGAGCCAGCGATCGGCCTCTACGGTCTACACAAAAAAACATGCTTTAGAGGCCGGCTGACATCAGGCTTGATCAAGGCATCTGTTGGAGGGAATCCAGGACTTCCAGGTTGCAACTGACGGCGGTGGGGGCGTCTTCCCGCTTTCAGGGTCCGTACCGTGCCAGCGGCAGCCTCTGGGAGGGAAACGGCCTGAATTGTCACTGTCCCATACGAGCTTGGCCCTGCTTGCGTGAGCATTCATGGGCGATCCGAACCTGGGAAAATCAAGGGTGCACACGGAGTGGACACACACTCTCTCCAGCTTGGCTGCCCCCTGCCAATGCCTGCCCCGTTCCCCCCCTTCCAATGGGCTGTGGCCTGCACCAGTGCAATGTGCCAGCAGGTGGGTGCGCCCAGCAAGCCCAGGTGCTAGGACCCGCGGCGGCAGATTCTCTGTTAGGGGAGGCCCGAATGAAACCTCCAGGAGCCAGCACGGGCACAGTGACGGGGCCAGAAAGGGTACTGTCAAAGGTGGCACGCCAGAGCTTGGCAAGGTCCCAAGGTTGGTGCATTGGATGCTTCAGTAAGGCAGGTTTGTGCCGAAGCCGTGGCGATGCTGCACTACAAGACACTGTATGGCAGATACCGGGGCCGGCGTCCAGGACGTGGTGCGCTAACAGCAGACCGGCGCTGCCCCAGCTTCTGACAGGGCGACCGCAGCACTGGACCAGCACTGCCCCGGCTCTCGTCTCCCATCTCCCAATGCAGTTCATCAATCCATCAAAAAGAGAGCTCAGTCGTCCGGCTGTCCTGTCCCATCGTATGTATCTTCGTTGAAGGTTTCCCTTGAGAAAAGAACCCTCTGCATCGCCTCGTGGGCCCCCTCCCGTCACTCACTCATCTGACTCCCGTCTCTCCCTCCCTCCCTCTCATTTCTCTTGAACTTGATCCCTCGCCCGAAGATCTCTGTTGAAGATCTCCGTAAGCAATAGACTGCCGGCGGTACGTCCTACGGTTGCATCATTGTCGGCAACACGAGAATGCGGCGGCCTTGAGTTCCTGTCTGTCCATCTGCACAACGACGTATCGATACCACCCTTTCCCGCTGCGCGTTGGTTTTCGCCGCTCGCCAAGACAGCATATACGCCTGTCGCCAGCATCAGCCCAGACTCGACCTGAATCCTGCGAGACCTGCTGCGCGGCTGTCTTGTCTGTCGCCCTCGCTCGCTCACATCTGACTCTCTCATCACGCCCGCCGCAGAGAATCCCGACAGAAGACGGCCCCCCGGTCGCTTGTTCCCCCCGTCACCCTCGTCACGGATCAAACTCCTCAGCTTGTTTCAGCCCGCCCCAGGGCCTAACCAAGTCGGCTTGAACCCAAGCCTCTCTACTGCATCCAGTAGTCGTGTTTTTCCATTCTGTATTTCGGGCCTGCTATTTGAGACCTGTTCCACCAGATATCAATAGAGCAACGACCCACGACGATCGCAGCAACCGCCATTGCGACTCTCCTCATCAGCCAGCCGCCCGCCCTACCGTCGCCAGCACCAGCCAACGGCCAATCCGCTAAAGTTAGTGGTCGCACTTCCGTATACGTGAGACGCCAAGCGACGACCGACGAGCCAGCGTGCCCAGCACCACTCTCCGACCCCCAAATCACCCGACTTTTTTCTTTCCTTCCCAAATCTCGACCTCCTCGCTCTGCAGAGGGGTCGCCGTCACAACTGCCCGCCCTGGCTCACCATCAAGAACCGCGCCATTCTCTCCTCGCCGAAGATCCCGGCTTTTCAGAACAACAGTCCACCTACGCCCAGTACCCCCAGTACGCCCAGCAGTCCTACCCGACCCAGCAGTCGCAATACGTCGACGCCTTCCCCCCGATGGCTTCCGCCAGGCGATCCGCCGGAGGCAGCGGCGGCAGTTTGGCCCGGAGCTCGGCCGACATCTTCAAGAAGAAGTGGCCGCGCGCCTTCTTCCTCCTTGCCACCTTGCAGGCCATCTTATGTATTGCGTTTGAGGCGTAAGTCTTTTTCCTCCCCGCCCATGTGCGCCCGGATCTTGGCGCGCGTCGGCCGGCTGATGACCGAGAATGCTGACCTGACACCCCGTAGCTACACGTTCGCCAGGTTCAACGGCAGCTTGAAGGATACGTCACAGTCGCCCTACAACACCGACACCGATGTCCAGGCTCAGCTCAAGACGATCCCCACCTTCTTGGCCCTGTTCATCTTTGGTTTCCTCTATGAGCTAGTTCTTGTCTGGGACGCGCTCCGCGTCAAGAACACGATCCAGGTTATTGGCCTCTGCATCGCGAACTTGGCCCTGATGGTCTACACATCCATCCAGGTCGACCAGATCCAGGATGCCATTGACATTCTCAAGACCAAGAACGCCGTCGAGGAGCTCGGCGTCTGGATGGACGTCAAGGGCCTCTTGATCGCCATTCCCTGCATCATCGGCGTCTGCACCGTCGGCTTCGGCTTGCTCGCCTGGAAGCTCTACCAGGAGTTTGCCTGGGATATCCTGAAGCACATCGGAGCCGACTACCGCATGAAGAAGCGTTTCTTGCACTACCAGGTGAGTATTGTTGAACCTAATCCCCGCCCCTCCCTCATGGCGACGCGCATCCCGGCTGACTCCCATCAACAGATTTACATCGCACTCCTCAAGTTCGATTTCTTCTTCTTCATCGGTTTCACGATCCAGTTCCTCGTTGTGGTCGGTGGTAACGTGTCCGACACCGAGTTCCGACTGACCAGCGCTGCCGTCCCCATCACGATCGCCATCCTGCTGGCGGCCGCGTGGTTCACCCGCAAGGAGTGGAAGTGGGGTACCATCTTCATCATGCTCCTCTACCTCGGTGGCCTGGCCTACTTCATCTTCAAGCTGTCCCGGATCTACGATGCCAAGAAGGGTATCCTCTATGCGCCCGTCAAGAAGTCCATGACCGCCTTCGCCGTCATCACCATCATCCTCATTGTCATGACCATCATCAACGCCATGGTCTGCATCCTCAACTTTGGCCACGGCCTCAAGCAGCACCTGCAGACCAGACCACGGGAGATGGACAAGGACCAGGCCTCGTATTCGATGAACGACGTCAAGCAGCCCCAGATGCCGAGCAGGATGACAATCGACTAAACCCAGGTCGCACAAAATAATGCGTGGTTTTATAGATGTGTATAAAATGGCACGATTTTCACGACTCTCCTTTTGCATTTTCTCCGCAAGATATCCGGCCCAATGGTTTGGCCTCGCATTCGGGGTGGTGGAAAGACGTGGCCGGCACTGCCGGTCCCCGGCTCCAGGTCCAGGTCGACGGGACGCAGGTCTGTCCCTAATTCACAAAGGGACCTCATTTCGTGGCGTTCAGCGATTTCATTTCCCTTTCTCATATTTTCTTTTAGCCGACTCGAGCTCCTTTTCCCAACATTGTCATCTGCGCTCAGCGACGAAGGGGATCCCATCTCTCAAAATCCCCCCCAGCTTTCATTAAAAGAGAAAAATCTCCTGTCTAGTGTGGCACCAATTCCTCTGGGGGGAAAGAGGGAAAAGAGGTGACATGTTCTTCGCCGATACAAAGCGAGCGAGCGAGCACTGGAAGTAGTAGTAGTACTAGTAGTAGATACCAAGGAAGACCAACCAACAGCAAAAAAATGAGAGCAAATTGAACTTCACACTGCACGTGTCTCTTGACGAGATTGCACGACCTGCGATCAACACCGCTGTGACCTGATCGAGCCCCATTATATTTCGTTGAGCTATAGGGGTGAAGGGACCGATCGTGGGCAACCGCTTTACGCTCCGAAGATGGCCAATAGTCCCGATCTGAATACACGAAGCCTATGGAGGTTGTACGAATACCTAGCCCCCTTGTATCGATTGACCTCACGAATTGCTTCCTGCGCAGGCTTGATGGGCGTTGTAGAAGATGCCCGTATATAGATACATACATGCATACGTATCTCCCTAGGTACACATAGACATCAGACGCAACAGACTCCATGTACGTACACACCCTGACGACAATCCCACTCCGAACCGTCGCCACTCTGTCAGGCAAGCAAGCAAGCACACGCATCCATCCAAGTCAAAAGGACCACTCGCGGCTCATTTGGTACCGTGTGTCATTAAGGCCCATTTTCAGGCCCCGCGTATATATATGCTGTGTGTACTGTAATTCACCGCTCATCGCTCAAGGCTCAAGCTCAGGACCATGCTCCAAAAAAAAAAAAAAAAAATTTAGTCTGCTAATTCCAGCAAATGCTCCAGACCAAATAGCGTCAACCGCGATGAGATTCCATTCCTTCCGTACGCCTACGCCGGAGTGAAAAACGCCAGTGACGCCAATGCACATATATGAAGTGTCCCCCAAATCATAATCAGTCATTACATACTCGGTTCCGCGACACCGTTGGGCCCCCGTGTCATGCGTGATGCAGTAAAAACGCCCGATGTCCTCCATGCGCTGAAAGGACAAAGACAAAACAAACGTCGAGAGGGAATCACTCGCTGACATTCATGATGCTCTCGCTGCGGATGATGCTGTTCTGGTGCTCGTCGCGCTTGACGCGGTAGAAGTGGTCGACAAAGTCGGAGCACTGCATGTGGCGGAGGAACTCCTCGTCGTGGGTGATGATGATGAGCTGGAAGTTGCTCTGGGCCCGGCGCTGCTCGATGATGCGGTGCAGGCTGACGGCCAGGGCGCGGATGTTGTCGCTGTCGAGGTTGGTCGTCGGCTCGTCGAGCGCGATCAGCCCGCAGTTGGTGCCGAACGACTCGGCCAGCGCCAGCCGGATGATGATGCACGCCAGCACCTTCTGCCCGGCCGAGCACCGGCCCCGCATGTCCATCTCCGTGTCGCCCTTGCGCATGCACACCCGGTAGTTGTACGCCCGCCGGCTCGTTGTCGACGCCTCGTTCTCGGACCGGATCGAGATCGAGTCGATGTCCGTGCCCTGGTACACGTCCCGCCACAGCTCGCCCGTGATTCGGTTCACCTCGTCCATCTTCAGCGCGTGGTAACGCATGATGGCATGGTCGAGCGCGTTGTTGTAGCTCTGCAGGTCGTCCATGGCTGCCTTGGTGGTCTCGAGCTTGACGTGTGTCTCGCGGTACTTGCTGGCTGCACCGGCGTAGTCTGTCTCCCAGTCCTTGAAGAGCTGCTTGAGTTCCTCGTCCTTGGTCTTGATCTGGCCCATCATGGCGCCTCGCTCCGCAGTCAGTTTTGCACGCGTAGACTCTAGAGCCTTGTATTCCTCCATGAGCCGATCGTAGTCCTCGGCTGCATTACGAGACTTCAGGTTTCGGATTTCAACTTGCAGAGTGTCGATCTGGCGAAGGTTCTTGCGGTAGTTCAGGTTGTCATTAATATTCTTCTTCTTGCGGCCGCTGTCACTGATCTCTTCCTTGAGCTTGTTGGTCCTGACTGCCAGCTCGCCCATGTCCTTCTCGGTGTGATCGACGGTCTGCTTGAGGGCTTGGATGGCGCGCTCGTTGATGCCAAGGTTGGAAGCACCGCCTCGTTCGATATACTCTCGAATGTCGCTCTCGACCATCTTGAGCTCGCTGACAGAGTTGGCAAGCTCATCACGCTCGTCTGTGATCTTCTTCTCCTTGCTACGGCCTCGTTGGATGACATCGTCCCGGATGGCTCTGGCCTTGGTGATGTCTGGCTCAATCGATTTTATGTCTTGGTCAGCCTGCTGGATGGTGGACTTCTGGTTGGCAATGTCATCTCGAATGGCCTGCAGTTGAGTCTGCACATCCCTCCTGCGCTCGAGCTGTCGGGTTGCATCGTTGACCTTGTTGCTCAACTGCTCCTTCTCCAACTCGAGGCGGCTGACCAGGTCTCTCATTTGCTGCTTGTCACTCTGGTGCTTGCTGATCTTGTTCTTGATGGCCCTCATCTGTTCATTGCAGTTATCTTGCAGCTCACGGATCTCGTCAGGGCTGCGGAGAGATCCGCCAGAGTGCTGCTGAGACATGAGCCTGTCAACTTGCACCTCGGCCTCGACGATGTCACGATGAGTATGTGCGATGTCTGAGATGGTCCGGCTCATGGACTCAACATCCTGTCGCTCTTCTGTCTTCTCGCGGACCGTCTCGTCCATCTCTTCCAGCCTACTGACGCTATCTGCTTCTTGCTCCTTAGCAGTCTGAAGTTCTCTGTCGAGCTCAGGCTTCTCTTCTGACAGCTTCATATACGTGTCATAGTACGGACGGGCAAGACGCAGTTTGCCTAGCTGTTCCTCACAGGCATCCAGGTCCTCCTGCGTCTGCGTCTTATTGTTGTCGTCAATGCCCTCCTTGATCCGCTGGATAAGCTTGGCCTTCTCCGCGGCACCTCCGAATGCACGATCGCAGAGGAGGCACTTGTTGTTCTTGTTCATCGCCTTCTGGCACTTGAGGTAGAAGTCCTTCATGGCATCAAACAGAGATACGTCCTTTTCCAAAGTCAAGGTTTTATCCTCGTACTCCTCAATTTTGCTGGGTAGGTCGTCGATGATGGGTGTTTCGCCGGGTTCGCACTCCTTCAGAGCATCTCGAACAGCCTCTTTGCACCTTTCAAGCTCGGCATCCCTCTTCTTCACCTTCTCTCTCGTATTCGAGAGGGAGAACTGGGCCTGCTTCTGGTTCTGCCGAGCGTCATCACGCTTCCGGGTAGTCTCCTCAAGTGCTTTGGTCTTCTCTTGAAGTATCTGCTGATAGTCCTTCTCCACCGACTCGACTTTCCAGGAACTTCCGACCAGGGCGGAAACCTTGTCGCTCCAAGTGTTTCTCAGCGACTCCAGCTTGCGCTTCTTTTCCTCGAGGGCATTCTTGTGCACGATGAGTTGCGCTCTGTCATCGGCCTGCCTAGAACATTCCATCAGCTCGCGGCCAAGCCGGTCGCTTTCAGCCTCGAGCTTGTAGAGGCTCTCGTTCTCTTGCTGTATCTTTGCGTCGACGCCTGATCCCTGAAGCTCTTGCAATGACTTCTGGAGGCGTTGCTCGATCTCGCCATGGGAAGCATCCAAGACAGCCTTGGCGCCCTCATCGACATCAATGGAGCTGAGTTGATTCTGCACGACGGTGCTCCTCTTCTCCAGAGCGCCTATTCGGTTCTTGGCGGTGTGCCGCTCCTGGGTTCGTGAGGACTTGCGACCTTCGAGCTCGGTGATGACTGCCGTCTTCTTGTCCTGCTCCTCGCCGTTCTCCTTCTGCAGGTGCTCGAGCTCGCGCTTCTTGTCGTTGAACATCTTCTGGAGTCGCTCGGTGAACTGCTTGACCTGCGGATCGTCCAGATCGCCATCGAAGCCACGAATGGCGTGAACCTCGGCGGCCTGGTGGACCAACTCGATGCGGGACTCGAGTTGGCGCTCATACCGCTCCTTGTCTGACTGAAGCTTGCCTCGCTCCGACATCTTGGCATCGAGATCTCTGCGTAGCTTCTGCATCTCCTTCTGGTACTCGGCGTACTGGAGCTTGTTCTGCTCCAGTTCCTCCTCGTAGCGGGCGACCTTGGCCTCGTACTGGGCGAGGGTTTCCTGAAGCCAGTCGTCGGACTCATCTAGCTCGTCGATGCTTCTCTTGAGCTCGTCGACACTCTCCTCGCGGATGGTCAGCTGGTGCTCTTTATTCCTGAGCTCGTGGACAATGTCGAGGAAACTGTTGGCCTGCTCATGCTTCTCCTTGGCCGCCTTGGCGGCGAGGTCCATTTCGGTGTCATGTGCATCCGTCAGCTCGACGAGGTGGTCGATCTCGCGCTGTAGAACATCGCACCGTTTCTGGCAGCGGTCGGCTTTCTCCTTGTCGGACTTGCAGTGATCCAACTTTTGGGCCAGCAGATTCTTCTTTTCGCCCTGCTTCTTCCGGATGACCTTGAGGTTGTCAATGGCCTTGGTGTACTTTTGGGCCTCGAAGATCTCGTCGAAGCGTTTCTTGAGGGCGCTGGGCTCGCTCATGGGCCAGAGGGACTCGTCCTGATGGCAGAAGATGACGGACTCGAGGATGGCGGGGGCGACGCCGAGGGTCTCGGGGACGAGGGAGTCCATGTCGACCTGCTTGGAGGTGCGGGAGCTGCGCTCGCCCAGGCGCTTGGTCTCGAGGGAGCTCTCGAGGGTCTTCATGGATCTGGCCGTCTTCTTGACGGTGACCTGGATGCTCCGGGTGACGACATGGCTCGTCTCGGGCGGGGTGATGAAGCGCAGCTTGACCTGGGCCAGGACCTCACGCTCGCCGCACAGCTTGGGGTCGTGGATGAAGGCGCCTCCCTTGCTGTTGGGGGGCTGCTCGCCGGTGGTGGCGTACTTGAGGCATTCGATGATGGTGGTCTTGCCGGAGCCGTTGTAGCCGACGATCAGGGTGAGCGGGGAGAAGAACTGGAGCGTCTCCCGGCTCATGGGCGCGAAGGAGCGCACGCCCGAGATGGACAGCTTGTCGATTTTCGACATGGCGACTGCGACTGTGCTGTGCCCGGATCGTGCGACTGCGACGGGTAGGTGGTAATTCGACGAGAGTAGGGCGGAAGTAGGGGTGCTTTCATGTCGGAAGGCGGGCAAAACCGGTCGACAGAAGCAGGGACAGACGAGGGTTGTGCAGAGGCCCGTCCTTCTTTGTCTGCGAGCCCCGAGTTGAGGTGTCGTCTCGGCCTGCTCCAGGTGTGAGCTGTGAACGATCTTTTTTCCTCCCTCTTGGAGAGACGCGTGCCTCTTTGCTGGGGGACGCGCCGGAGGTGGTACGTACTGTAAAGTCAGCTCCCTCCAGGCAGCAACGGCCCTATCACCGAGCACCCGAGCGTCTGGGCAAGAGCTAAAAAGGGGAACCCAGGGGGACCCGGAAGGACCCCGCAGATGCCGTGGATGCAGGGACTCCCTACTGCGTCATAGGGGACTGCTACGTGCCTAGAGAATCCTTACCTGGGTAGCCTCCCTGAAGTCCATACCTGATGACAGCCTTCCACTATTTGCCAATGTTGATGACGGTCATTATACCGCGCGCATGCGAGCAATAGAGTAGCCAAGCTGAGACGATGACTCGCACGTCCCATTAACCTATATGACAGATACGGATTGCCCAAGTTTCTGAGAAACAGGAAGGAATCAAAGCCGATAATCTGACATCTCATCAGTCCAAGGCCGCTGCCCGTGGCCTCCAGCTCAGACTGACCTCTATGAGACCAATCATGATTGGGCACTCAGTGGGTGGTATATTGATAGTCTTGAAGGCCGAGGTTACAATACATGTGTCTTAATTCTACAACCCTTTGGTCTCGACTGGATCAAAATGTGCACATTGGCGAACTCCATTTGCTTTGGCAGTCAATCGGGAGATGCAAGACTACATGGGGTCGTCCATGGTCCTCGCCATACCACGACAATCATTGTAGCGTTGGTTGAGATGTTTCCACCACCCGACCTTCCGTTAGCTGCCGGCCGGTCGGTTGGCCTGTCGGACAGAGGATTTGGTAGTGATAGCGCTTTGAGTAAGGAAACTTGTCTTGCGAGTCAAGGGGTCAAAAGGAATCGTGGATTCAATTTGCAAGCAACATGCGGATGGGTAGCTCGTAGATCAGGTCGACTTGCCCAATCACGAAGGCTCGATGTCATACTGAGACCAGCTGGAGCAGCTGGAAGAAAATAGGCACAAGCCACACATGGACTATATAGAATTCGGATATCAAAGTAGCGACAGGCGCCGTAAGATGTTGCTTCCGTTGACATTGTGTGGTAAGTATACCTCGTACCTACATAACGCAACGTCAGGCAGCTGACTTCTACAAGTTAGGTGTCAACTGAAGTGGATAGCATCCTGGCGGCATCTGCTAACTTGAACTGCCAGAGGGCTCGCTGCTCGCTTGAAGGTCAGGACTCGGGGCCGCTTCCCCGCAAGGCAATCCCCACTGAAGATCTTGGCCCAGCAGCGCTTCAGCAAGCCTGCGCTTCACCGTGTCATTGGGCTAGCGAAAGGCCCTGCAGCCCTGGGATCGAGCATCCAGAGAGAAAAAAAAAGATTTAGGGCCAGACGGACCCAGATCAGCACGAGAGCGCAGAGCCAAAAGATCTGCACCAACAAGTAAAAGTGAGGGCAAGTCCACTACGCAAGTTAACGGCACCGTCTTCATCCAACAATTGCCCGACCAGGAGCAAAACCTCCGCGCGCCGTGGGCCCTGAAAACGAAAACCCGCGCCTGGGTTTCGGCTCCACCGGGACGCTGGACTTTGCTGGATGGACAACACCAATACGTGCATACCATAGGACCTAGTATGAACCTTGGCAACGTTGAAGCCAGCTCGTGGGAAATGGCAGTTGGGGGGGTCAGTTGGAGGCACCTAATTAGCAACGGAGGAGGTGATGCAATAGGGGCAAAGCTCCCCCTGGGTGTTGCTGTTCCAAGGAACGGGCGCCCCGTATCGCATTCTGCCGCTGAGAAAAGCCTAGTGGCGGCGGGGACCCGTGGGCATTGTCCCAAGTCGGGCAGGATAAGGGACCTTGGGACCACGACTGACTGGTGACGGGGAGCCGGGAACTGGGAACTGGGGACGTCACAAGCCGATCCCTCTGGCTATCGAGAATTTGAAATCCCATCTTTAATTCCCGCGGCCCCCCCTTCACCTGACCTCTAGATACACCTCCACGCCCGGCTGCTGGATTGCACCTTTGTAGCATCGTGAGCGCCTCTTCTGGTCTTGCCTGCTCTCTTCCCCCTTTTTTTTCTCATCTCCCCACCAAGAGCCAAAAGACCAAGAGCCGAGAGCGCCGTCGTGACATGACGCTGCCGCTGCCCGGCCCTGCCACTGCCACCGACGTCAAGCCCAGCCAAACCCGGCACCACCCAGTCGCTGTCCCTGGAATCGTTTTCGGATAAGCTTCAGAGGCCGACGAGCGCCACGCCAACTGCGCTGTCCATCGCCTGTCTGTCTGTCTGTCTGTCTGTCTGTCCGTCGGTCGGTCAACGTCGCACGCTGCTGCTTGCTGCTGGCTTGCGTGCTGGTGCTGTAGACCCCGAATTTTATTTCCAGTCCAGTCCAGTGTCCTCGAGAGGTCCCAGCAGAGATCAGCGCTGGAGCTGTCCCAGACCCCAGGTGGGAGAAGGCATACCATGAACTACGACGGCCCACCCGTCGACATGTTCGGCTTCCCTCCTTCTGCGCCGGGCGCAGGTGGCATGAACCCCGTAAGAAAAAGCCCCATCCCCATTCCCATCCCCATCCCCATCCAATACCCATACCAACACCCATGGCAGCAGCTGTGCCGTACTTTGGTCGCATGCCACATTACATACAATTCAATCCCTACCCACCCACCTCCAGCTACCTTGCCCTCCTTCTCCGCGTCCCCCTCTCCATGCGTGCCTAGGTATACATACACACACACTGCACACAGCGAAAAGAGAAAGCCAAATTTGGGCTGCGGCATTGCGCCTCAAGTCGCATGGAGCACACTCTAATCTCGCTGTTGCAACCCGAAAACAATCCACCGGTCGCTGGCTGACACTCTTGGCGCTCTCTCTCCCCCCCAGATGACCGACGCTGCATCGCAAGACATCATGTCCGGCCTCTTCGACACCAATGGCATGTTCGCCAACTACGACGCCGGCATGCCCATGGCCCTCGACGTCGACGGCGACACCGCCATGCAGCAGTCGCCCCAGCACATGTTCCCGCCCGGGCCCGGGTCCAACGTGCCCACCGCCCAGAGCTCCACCGAGGGCACCCCCAGGTTCTCGTCCAACCCCGACGACAGCCCGGCCGCCCAGGCCCAGCCCCCGGGCGGCAACACCCTGACCGAGTTCACCAAGCGGAGGAACTGGCCCGCCAAGGTCGTCGAGGAGTTGAAGGACTACCTGCAGATCCTCGACCAGCATGGCAGGATCAAGTACGTCTCGCCGAGCGTCACCTCCGTCTCCGGCTACCAGTCGGACGAGGTCGTCGACATCTTCATGAAGGAGCTCATACACCCCGACGACGTCGGCACCTTTACCGCCGAGATGAACGAGTCCATAGCCAGCGGGAACCCTTTCCGCATGTTCTACCGCCTGAGGAAAAAGGACGGCAACTACACCATCTTCGAGTCCGTCGGCCACGCCCATATCGCATCGGCCAAGTTTGCGCCGAACCCTGATAACCAGACTGCCTTCTGCCAGGCCGTCTTCCTCATGTCGAGGCCGTATCCGACCAAGAACGCACAGCTGCTGGATTCTTTCCTGGAGCACAAGATTGAGAACGAGAGGTTACGGCGGAGAATCGCCGAGCTGCGCCGCGAGGAGGAAGAGGAGGAGGCATCGCAGCGGAGCTGGCTCGAGAGCCAAGACGTCTCGACGACGAATATGACACCCTCGGAGGACAACCAGTCACAGACCGCCCAGTCCGCCCAGACCGCGGCAGCAATCCAGAGCCAACAGGCCATGGACGCCGCCAACATGCCGCCGCCCGACAGTACGAGATCGCTCGGCTCCCTGCTGACTCGAGATAATCTGGAAGGTGCCACGGCAGGGAACCGTCCAGACTCGATTAGAGACAAGATGGCCAGATATGAGGCTGCTTCCCATACGGACACCATTGAGATGCTTACGGGTCTTCGCTACGTCGAAGGAGAGCGGAGTCGCGGCATCACGACCGGGAACCAAAGCCCGACTCTGATCAAGGGCGATGCCGGGATCGCGATCCCCGTGGACCGGGATCCAAGGACGGGGGAGAAGAAGAAGAAGCTCAAGGTGGCGGAGGAATACGTCTGCACCGACTGTGGTGAGTATACGAAAATGCTGATTGCGAGGCGGGATATTGTACTAACTCGGCATCAGGCACCTTGGATTCTCCCGAGTGGCGGAAAGGCCCCAGCGGTCCAAAGACGCTATGCAATGCGTGCGGTCTTCGGTGGGCCAAGAAGGAGAAGAAGAAAAACACGGGCGGCACAAACACCACACAAGATACTCCCGTGCCACTAACAGATCCGTAAAGGCCAGCTCGAATTACCCTTTCTTTCAACAGCGTGCAGTTATAGACAGATAGTTCGAGGCTCAGGAAATGGCGTAAGGCGCATGGCGTACGGGGGACGTGTGACTTATCTCGTAGTCACCTAGTTTACACGGGGAGGGAGCATCACCAGGAAACAGGCAAGCATGGAGTCGGGTACAAAACGACAAGGGGTTGGATTTTTTTTTATCGCGCTTGAGCGCGCCAGATCATGCTATTCTCGAGATACCAAGGCAAATTTTTTGGAGGGACGACCACAGGTGGCGGCGGCGGCGGCTCTGATGGGTGGCAGGATAAGTCGTGCCATATGGCAGAGGAAATCTTCTATCACGCTGTGATATCTATACAACGCAAAAATGCCTTGTGTGGAATCTTGGGGGATGGAATCTTTTTGTACAACAGAGAGACAATCGTGGACCAAATACATCAACATGATTCAAAACTGGAAGGACTGAATGATAGAGGATGCTCGTCCTGAGCGTCCGTTTGATATTTTACTTGATCATTACAAGAATCATTCGTATAGTATACTGCCGAGACGAAGTCAGAGATGAGGCCAGAGCCCACGAACGCCAGACACTATCCTCTCATAACTTGCTCCTCAACCACGCCAGCACGCCGGCGCCCGCCTTCTTGTCCTCCAGCTTTCCAGGCTCCTGCTGCTCGGGCCACCAGGGCCAGACGGCGGGCTTCTCGGCGTCCCAGACGCCGTCGAAGCGGGGCTCGCGCTTCTCGAGGAAGCTGCGGATGCCCTCGCGGGCGTCGGCGCCGCGGAACAGGTCGAAGAAGACGGCGCTCTCGAGGGCGAAGGCGCCCTCGGGCGACGCCGCCCCGCGGTACACCATGTCGCGCATCGCCCGCGTCGCCACCCCGCTGGTGCGCGCCGCCACCTCGCCCGCCAGCTCCAGCGCCCGCGGCAGCACCTTTTCGGGCGCCGTCACCTCGGCGAACAGGTCCGCCACCACCGGCTCCCGCGGCGAGTACGTCGACCCCGTCGTCACCAGGTGCAGCGCCCGCCCGGCGCCCAGGATCCGCGGCAGGAAGAAGGACGAGCACGCTTCCACTGTGGTTCGTGGAATGAGTCAGCAGGCAGCTTCTCGGAGGTACATGTATATGTATATATATATATATAGCAAAGCTGGAATGCTAGATGGGTACAAGGAAGGACTCACTGTTAATGCCCCGCCGCGCAAACACGAACCCGATCTTGGCCTCCTCGCTCACGATGCGGAAGTTGCACGGCAGCGTCATGGTGATGCCGACGCCGACGGCGTGGCCGTTGATGGCCGCGATGACGGGCTTGTTGCAGCGGTAGATGGCGAGGCTGACCTGGGCGCCGCCGTCGCGGTGCTCGCGGCGCTGGCGGTCGAGCTCGGCGGCGGTGGTGGGCGGCGGCGGCCTCTCTGGCTTCTTCTCGGACGACGGACCGGTGCCGGTCACGGCGGCCGAGGCGTCGCCCAGGTCCATGCCGGCGCAGAAGAAGCGGTTGCGCGGGTCCGTGGACCCGAAGACGACGGCCTTGACGCGCGGGTCCGACGACAGCAGCCCAAAGGCCGTCACCAGCGACGCCACCATCGTGTCCGTGAAGGCGTTGTTCTGCGCCGGCCGGTCCAGCAGCACCTGGATCACGGGCGTCGGCACCGGCGACGACGCCGGGTGGTGCTGCAGCTTGACCTGCGGCAGGGCGTAGTCATTGTACGAGAGCGGGTGCTCTGGGGATGTCATGGTTTTTTATCTGCTTCTTGCTGAGACTGGAGCTGGAAAGGTGCGGGTTGGACGTTGTGTGAAATGTGTATATACAATGTCAAGCTATAGGATGGGTTTCCAATAAAATTGGCCCTATTGGCAACAACTAAATGAAAGGAAATGGGGGGTTTGCGAACCGTGGTTATGGCGAGATCGTCGTATGTATAGAGTTGTGGTTGACGTTGGCGTACTCCCATAATATTCTCCAACTGCTTTTGGCGTTAACCGAGGGGGCGCGAGGAGGGGAGAGGGGTTCGCTGTTTGGGGTAAGCGAGGAACCGAGGCTCAGCGTTGAAGGGTATAGTTATGAAGACCAGCCGTTCTATGAAGACTGCAAACATTAGACCATTAAAATCGTGGCAGACTCCTGCTGATTGAATGGGTCTGGCAGCAATTGCAACTGTATACTTTGATCCACAATCTGAATTAGTATAGAGTTGCTTTTTGAGTCCGGCAGACTCCGATAGGCAACCTCCTCTGTACAAGGTAACACTAGCCCCCCCTTCCCCCTTCGATAACCCTATCTGGTCCCTTATCCCGTTGGCCCAGGCCTGCCAACAGGCACACAGACCTAGGCTATTTGGCAACCTTGAGCCCGCGCAGGTCCTCCCACTCGTGCACCAGCATGCCCAGGCACAGGTCGTCCCACCACCGGCGGTTCATGAAGAAGACCTCGCGCGTGCGGCCCTCGAGCTTGAAGCCGATGCTCTCATACAGAGCGAGCGCGCGCTCGTTGAAGGACGGCGTCCCGATGTCAACGCGGTGCATGTTGCCAAAGGTAAAGGCCCAGTCCAGGGCCCAGTTGACGGCCTCGCGCCCGTAGCCCTTGTTCTGGTACGCGGCCGCGATCTGCAGGCCGATGGCGGTCCTCATCTTGAATGTGTCCGCCTTGGGCTTGGACAAGACCAGCATCCCGATGGGTCTGGGCTTCGGCTCGTCCTCCTTCTCCTCCTGTTTCTTCTTCTTTTCACCCTCCTCGTTCTTGTCGCTCTTGTCGTCGTCGCCACCCTCCGCCGCAGGCTCAGGCGGAAGGCATATGAAGACGGCAATCAATGAGTTGTTGATGATGCTCTCATAGTCTTTCTTGCAGGTCTTCTCGGAAGAGGGGACGAACACATTGTAGTTGCTCAACCCCTGGCCGACTGGGTCGCTCCAGAGGTTCTTCCACAACCAAGTCCTATCGGTGTCATTATCTTCCATTTGGCGGAAGACGAGTCGCTTGGACTTGAAAGCATTGGCGAACGCCGTGACCATGGACTCCATTGCCATATTGTACGTAGTAGAGGTTTGAGCGGGCTAATATGTTTAAAGGATTGTTGTCCAATGACATACACCTGTGTGCGCGCGAGCAGCTCCTTACAAGCTTAACTATCGGATTGACGCGCAAGTGCTACATCCATCGTAGTCTCAAGTGAGTACACATCTAGGGATAAGAGACACTTATACTAATCGTTTCACCAAAGATATCATCAAGGACCTTCCTGTTGCGGTCTGGTGAGAGTAAGCACGATCGTGAGGGGAGTTACGAGAGAATACATGATATGCTCTGCAGGACTGGCCGCGTCTTCGGTCCCAGAGAGCCAACGATAGCGCCGCTCTTACGAAAGGGACATGGGGCGTACGCGGTCCAGGCAGCTACAACATAGATAGAGATAGACATGACCATCGAGCAATGGTGCGGGGTCATGATGTAGCCATAGGCTAGTCACTCCGTCGCACGAGAGCTGTGCCGTACAGGCACACATCTTGTCACGACATATATGGAGGTAGCAGAATTACACCAGGCTCAGGACAAGACAGTGGAGGTTCCACGACTACCTAGGTACCTTTTGGTCCGCCAATAGGGACTTAACAGGGTGGTAGTGATCAGCCTGCACTTATAGCGGGGCGTTTCTGCTCGATGGCTTGATGCCAAGGAGACCATACATGATATGCATCAAGCAGTCAATCAGTGATTCGTCGGGCTAGGTGTTTCATTTCGTGGTGCTCTTCGACTTACAACGAGCATAAGGGACGGTGCTCACCAGACACTCTAATCATGCAGCTCATCACAATGCGGAACCGTGACAGATCTCTTGCCTGGGTTCATTACCAAGGTACCAAGGTGGACTAAACAGAGCACACTACGGGGAAGATAGGTTACCTCCTAACCAAGGTGTTCTGAAGCTAGAATCGGGGTGCCCAGCTCCAAGTGCTGTGCCAAGACACGGCATCGGGCGCGCAGCTACTGTGACTCTCTCACTGCTGCTTCACTTATAATGCCATATGAACGAGAGAGTATGTTTGCTGTGAGGCAACCGATCAGAGCCCAGACTCGGGCTCAGAGCTCAGCCGCCATAGGACAACCCCTATTCTTCAGCTCCACGACTTTAGTTTCAGGTCCCCTCCGCCCCGCACACGTCATTGGCCTGATCTGGGCTCTGCTCCTCCCAAAGCTTCTGGAGAGCATACAGCACCTCTAATACCTACCCGACCGGCCGACTCTTCATTCTCTTTCCTTCCCTCTTCATTCGTGAGATAGATGCCAGACTGGTTCCGTACTTACTCGATCATAAACATACAGCAATCTTGCAACAAGCCCCTCCGACATAACAACGCACCATGTCATTCTTCGGCAAAGACGACGACGACCGCCGAGGTGGAGGTATGCTTGTACCCCGCCCCCAAGGGGAACATGTAGCTCATGTCTCTGTTGGGTAACTGTTGGGCTAACATGACACCACGCCATGTCCAGACTACCCCAGCGGTGGTAACGGTATGTAGAGTTCAGAAAGCTGCTCTCGAGGTGACTCCGGTCTAAGCGAATGTCTTGACAGCGACCCACGGCGGCTCCTACCCGGCCGGCGGCTACGGCGCCGACGACGACCTGCGCGCGGCCTCGGAGCACGCCAGCAGGCACGCCGGCAGCTCGGGCGACAGCAGCCTGTTCTCGAGCCTGCTGGGCGCCCTCACCGAGAAGAAGGGCCGCCTGGCCGAGGAGGACGTTGACGAAGACGGTATGTTTCCAAGCCGCCAAGCCGCTGAGGAAAAGGCCCCCCCTCCTCCCCCCCCCCCCCCCCCCCCCCCCCCCCCCCCACCCCCCCCCCCCCCCCCCCC